AATTTTATACACAATTTCTGGGGTCTGCAGAACTCCTGAAGCCCATTCAAAAAGCTCTTAGGGATCTCTGATTAAGAACCTCATAGTTCAGGGATTACGGGCACAGACTTGAGTCTAAAAAAAAAAAAAAAGTTTTCCAATCCTTATCACTTCAAAATAAGCTGTGTGACATTGGATGGGTTACTGAACTTCTCTGGGCCTCAGAGAACTTCTCTAGGCTCCTGCTTATGTGTAAAATAGGGGTAATAGCAGTAGCTACTTCAAAGGTAGTAGTAAATGAAATAAATAAAACAGCCTGGATTCAGGCAAGGTAAGGGCTTATGGTATTTATTGCCATAGTTATTACGGTTGTTGCTACAGATAGTACCCTGGGCCGAATGTAAGGACTACTGAGCAGTCCTGGCTCAGTCAGGATAACAGGAGGCCACCTAATCTGTGCTAATTCTATAGCACAGAAAGCACTTTCTGAATTCCATATGGGGTGTCAAGAGTAGCAGGTCTACATGAGAAAATGTGACCCAGAGCAATGCTCAAGTTGACTTGTTTTAAGTGGAGTCAGACTCTTTCCTTCAGAAGGAATTCTGGCTTAAGGGTGGTACTTACACAAAGAACCTGGAAATGAATGGGGCCACCCAAACAATATAGACTGATCAGATGGAGCCCCAGGGATTTAAGTGAATTTCTCTCCTGTGCTAAGGAATTATTCATTTGTTTGGGTCCCCTTATCGTGGCCATTTGTGAATGAATGCTCTTTCTTTTCTTTTTGTCCAGAATCTTCCTTAAACTGGGAAGGGGGCAGACAGATTTTGGGTAGAATGTTCCTTTCCCCTTCCACTAGAGATGAAATAAGGCTAGACCCTGGCCTTATAGGAAGTAAAGGAGACTTCAAGAGTCAGAATATGCTGCTGGGCATGGTGGCTCATGCCTGTAATCCCAGTGACTTGGGGGGTCGAGGCTAGCCTCAGCAAGTAAGTGAAGCTCTAAGCAACTTAGGAAGACCCTGTCTAAAAATAAGAAATAAAAAAAGCTGGGATGTAGCTCAGTGGTAAAATGCCTCTGGGCTAAATCCCCAGTACAAAAAAAAAAAAAAAAAAAAGAAAGCCTCTATCCCATCTAAAAAAAAAAAGGTCAGGATATGGTGTATAACTGGCTCTGAAAATGAGCACTTCCTCTGTGGAGCAGACTCTGGGGATCAGTTTCTTACAGCTCCAGGTAAAAAGACATTGTCCCAGTTGGCTAGGGGTGGGGGAACCTCTAAGTGTCTTCTTTTCCTCAGCAGAAAGTTGGGCAGAAAGACTAGAGTCTAGAAAGTGATGGTTGGGTTCCTTCTAACCAACCTCCATTCCCCTACTAGTAGTTCTCTTTTAGAGTCTCACAGTCTTGGCCCAAGTCATTCCCCAGCCATTTGTACCCTGTTTGCTTGATGGAAACTTATTCAACCAATAACAGTTGTCCTTCAGTCTGGGATCGATGGAATCATCAAACTCAAGGATCTCAGTCTGGTGGCAGAGAAGAGGGAGTCCAATCACAAACCAAAAATACACCTTACTGCTCTGCAAGAAGGAGGCCAGAGAATTTGGACTCTTAGGAGTCCAGAAAGTCTTAGCTGGGCACACACTAGGGCTTTAGGGGTGGAGATAGGGTAGAACCACAGGGTGGGGAAAAAGTTGCTGAGACCGTTAGGTTGATTTTCCAAGGTGGACTGGATAAGGAGACCTGGGAAAATAAATTGAAACAACAAAGAACTAGGTGGAACCCCTAAATATGCAGAGCTCCTGAACATGTTTAGCCAAGAGGCCAACTGATTAGGTGGATGAACCAAAGGTAGCAGGGCTGGGCCGCCCAGGGAAGGAGACATTTGGTGAAGGTGGGTGGAGGTGATACATCAGAGGATGGTGTAATGTAGTCCCCACTTTGACATAGTGTGGCTAAAAACTAAAGATCCCAGGGAACAAGACTCTCATGCTCCTCAGTTCATATTCCACCCCTTCCTAGAGGTCTCTCAGTAATCCTGAACTCCACTGGTCTTTGGGGACTGGGAGATGGGCAATAGCAGCTGCTGGGCTTTTCCCTAAGGCACAGTCCTTCTGGCCAGTATCAGGTGCAGAGAATAAAGTAACAGGAAAGGAAAGAGGGCAGGTATGGGAGGATACCCTCACCTTAGGATAGAACTCAAAGTTCCCAGTCCCAGATCTGGAGAGCTGTCTCTGATATGGAGTTTGACTGAGGTTCTGGTCAGGAAGTTGGGGTTATGGTAGGAAAGGGATGAGATGGGATTCTAAATGCAGTAAGTGAAAGGAGAGGGCAGACCTATCTTGCCCTCCCCCTTCCAAATCTTCCCCTTCTCTCTTCTGTTCTTCGCCAGTTCCTAGACTCTGACGCTACTATTTCTAGGCCCAGAATCTCCTTGTGGCTTTCAGGGTAGCAGGGATGCCTCAGAACAGGCATGCCCCAGGAATGGATCTGCAGCTCTGTGAGAACTGAAATCCCTCTTTGCACCATTTCTTCCTCTGAGCACCTGTCCTTCCTCCAAAATCCAGTCAGTGCAAAGGTGGGAAAGGAAGCATCAAGCTCCTTCCAAGATTCTCAAGCATGCTCCAGGTCAGCACTAGGGCCCCACAGGAGAATTCAGTCTCCCTAATCCATCCCTATTACTCCAGAGAGCTGCAAGTCATGACTCCAAACACAACTAACTGTGAGATAAACCAATCTCTGGTGTTCAGCGGCTTCTCCACTGGAGGCAGAGAGAGAATCTGCTCTCTGTTCCATAGCCCAGCTCAGTCCACTCCCTCTCCAGGGCAGGTATGAGGGGAAAGAAGTTCCATTCTTCTTATTCCAACCACCTCTGCCCTAGGCCTTGAGCCCTCAAACTGGCCTCTCTGGTCCCTCCTCTGGTTCAAGCTTAAGCTGTCCAACCACACTAACCACACTACCCGCACTACAAACAAAGCCGGTAGAGTCTGTGCCTCTGTGTGTGAGCAGGGAGAACTTCCCTTGACTCCAACTCCCTCTTCCTCCCCTTTCTCCAAGGGCAGAAATGGAAAATTAGGGGCAGACACAAACCAGATGGGGTAGCAAGAGAGAAGAGGGCCTGAGGGCACAGCCCCGTTGTTGTGCCTCAGGGAAATGAAACACATAGCTGAGGTTCAAACCCACTAACATGCCCAAAGGTTCACATAGGTTTACACAAATATACACATGGAGAACCACACACAAATACGCATATTCAAAAACATAAACACCTTCAAGTAACGATGCACACAAAATGCCCATCTAATATGCACAGATTCCAGGCCATAGGGCTCCTCAGCGGTCAGCCTAACTGGAACCCTAGCCTCCCAGCGAGTTTCTGAGAGCGCAGCCCCAGCCCTGGCCCGGCCCCTACGGGCCCCCGCCCAGCATCCGGAACAGCTGGAGTCGGCCGGGCAGTACTCACAAGCGCGGCGCTGGGCTGGGCGGGGCCCGCAACGGGGCCCCGGCCCGGGCCCGGGCAGAGCAGCGGAGAAGCCCCAAGCCCTTCCCAGTAGCTCCGGCACTCGGCCCGTTTGCCCATTAGACGCCTATCATCAAAAGAGTCGTACCCTAGCCGGCCGGAGAGCCAGTCGCAGACCAGGCTAAGAGTGTGCAAGATTGCCGGAGGAGGTAGGGTGGCCGCTTCGGTCTCAGGCCGGGGTAGAGGCGCTCACAGACACCAACAACTCCTCCCTCCGCCTCCTGGCATGGGGAAGGCTGAGCCCTCTGACTGGCCCCCTCCCCCAACCGCTGGAATCCCCACCCCTGTCCCGCGTTGCCCACCCAGGGCTGTGAAGCTGGCTCTGACCTCCTGCGCGCCAGTCCAGGAGGGCTTCAGGTTCCCTTTCTCCAAGCACATGGCCCAGAGCTGGGGGTGAGGGACAAGGATCGGGAATGGGGCTCTAGGTTCTTGATTTCGGCTTGGCAAAGTCCACAGTGGGCGGAACCGGGCCCACCCGGACTCCTGTTCTTACCTGACCCGCGCCGCGGCCGCGTCCCTCCCTGGTTGGGGCTCCCGCCACCCTTCTCGGACTCCAAATCCCGGGTTGGAGAGCCTGAGACCTCCGGGCTGGCGCTGCCACCGCAACCAGGCCTGCGGGAGGCGGGTGCGCCCGGAGCTCGGCTCTCAGTTTGGGGTGGGGGCGGTGGCTTTTCAGTCGCCCGAGGTTCGGGTGCAATAAAGGCGCCGCTAATGTAATTTACAAACAGCTCGGGCCGAGAGCGGCGCAGCGCCCGGACTGACAGGCGCATTAGGCAGGCTAATTCCAGCCGGCTCCTCCTACCCCCGGCCCGCTAATTAATGAGCTTCCCAACTTAGAGCCGCCTGCATTGGACAGAGAGAGAGAGAGAGAGTGAAAGAGAGGGCGAGAGAGAGGTAGAGAAGGAGAGAGACGGGGGGAGCAGAGAGAAGAGAGGGAGGGAGGGAGGGAGAGAGGACAGGGAGAGAGAACAGAGAGAAAGAAGAGAGGAGAAAGACTGGGAGAAAGCAAAGAGAAAGAGAAGTGCCGTGAAGCTGCAGATAATTGATTACTCCTCGATCAAGGCTAACTTGTTAGCAATAGTCAATTGCCCCGTCTTTCCGCCTCCCCTCGCAGTCCGGGATCGGCGCCCTTGCTTCGGCTTTTCCAACTGCCGCCGCCAGGACCCGGGGCCAGGAGCCGCCGCGGAGCCACCTGATACCTTTAAATAGCACCGGGGCTGGCGAAACTGGAGCCCCGCGCTGCGCGCCCCGGCTCCGGCCCCGGATTGCTGGAAGCCCGGGCAGCAGCGGCGGCTGCGGCGGCGCCCGCGTCAGCGCTCTACTTCGTGGGCCCCGCGCGTCTAAGCCTGCCTCAGCCACCGCGCTAATCAGTCCGGTGCCCGGTCCGCGCCCTGCCTGGCGCGGCCTCCTTGCCGCCGCCTGCTCGCACCGCCCGGGGCCCGAGCTGCCCGCGGGCTGGGTCCCCGCGGCCGGAGCCGCCCCGGCGGGGCCCCCAAACGAGGCCGAGATGACTTCCAAGGAGGACGGCAAGGCGGTGCCAGGGGAGGAGCGGCGGCGCAGCCCGCTAGACCACCTGCCACCGCCCGCCAACTCCAACAAGCCGCTGACGCCGTTCAGTATCGAGGACATCCTCAATAAGCCGTCTGTGCGGAGAAGTTACTCGCTGTGCGGGGCGGCGCACCTGCTGGCCGCCGCGGACAAGCACGCGCCGGGCGGCTTGCCCCTGGCGGGCCGCGCGCTACTCTCGCAGACCTCGCCGCTGTGCGCGCTGGAGGAGCTCGCAAGCAAGACGTTTAAGGGGCTCGAGGTCAGCGTCCTGCAGGCAGCGGAAGGTAAGAGCCTCCGCTAGGTTTCCCTTTGCCCAATGCCTCACGCTTCTGTTTTGTGCCCTATGCCTCTGCTCACTTCTTCCCGCGCCGGTCGCCAGGGCCCTCTAGCCCGAGCCTCTGCCGCTGGGAGTGGTGATAGGTGGGACAGAACCCAATCCCTATTTTCTGTAGACCTCTGGGTAGGCCAGAGTCCGGGTGATCTGAGTATTGTGGTGGGAACCCAAGCTCTCTCCCCAGTCTGCATGCTCTGCTGGGCTCCCTCTGGTTCCCAGTGGCCTGGCGCTCCTAGCCCTTCACGATTCTGGGTGGGGAATCAAGAAAACCTTTTGCTGCGATTTTCTGGGTAGGATAGTATCAGGCGGCGGTTGGGAAGCAGTAGGGGAACCAACACCGTGTTGACACTATGATCCCAGAGTACCTATCTGGGTTCCTCTGGCTTGCAGAGACTTTGAATCTTTCAAACCAAGTCTTAGGTGGCAGGCAGAAACCAAAACAAATTTTCTTAGCGATTTCAAGGAGACCAGAGACAGGAGGTTTGTGACAATTCAGGCTTGCTCTGGTGTGAGAAGCTGAGTCAAATAGGGGAAGGGAAATGAGGATAGACTGCAGGCCCTGATGGGCCTGTGTGGTGTGGGGAGTTAAAGGGTGAGAGCTAGGGTGGGTTCTCCACTCTCCCGATGGGAGCCTATACTGTCATTTCTTTCCAGGTCGTGATGGGATGACCATCTTTGGGCAGCGGCAGACCCCCAAGAAGCGGCGAAAGTCCCGCACAGCCTTCACCAATCACCAGATTTACGAGTTGGAAAAGCGCTTCCTATACCAGAAGTACCTGTCCCCAGCAGATCGCGACCAAATCGCGCAGCAGTTGGGCCTCACCAACGCACAGGTCATCACCTGGTTCCAGAATCGTCGTGCCAAGCTCAAGCGGGATCTGGAGGAGATGAAGGCCGACGTGGAGTCCGCCAAGAAACTGGGCCCCAGCGGGCAGATGGACATCGTGGCGCTGGCAGAACTCGAGCAGAACTCGGAGGCCGCAGGCGGCGGTGGCGGTGGCTGTGGCAGGGCCAAGTCGAGGCCGGGTTCTCCTGCACTCCCCCCAGGCGCCCCGCAGGCCCCGGGCGCCGGGCCCTTGCAGCTCTCGCCCGCCTCCCCGCTCACGGACCAGAGGACCAGCAGCCAGGACTGCTCGGAGGATGAGGAAGACGAAGAGATCGACGTGGACGATTGAGCGGCGCCTTGTGTCTTTCGCCGCCCTGGGCCCCAAGCGCCCGCACACCCGCCGCCTCCCGGACCCGACCGCCGAGGGGAGCTGGGACCTCCTCTGCAACTCCCGCCTCCTCCCTTGTCCCAGGGCCCGGACTCGGCTCCCAGCAGCCGCCTCTTCCCTCTCGAAGCAATAAACCCGGGCTGGCCGCCGGGCGGGCTGCTATACACGGCTTCCGACGCTCCGGAAGCCCTCGCCGTGCAATTCTGTATGGCTTCTGTATAAATATTTAAACCTATATAGCAGGTTCTTCCCAACGCAGCCTGGTTTTTTCGTTTCTTTTATTTTTTTAAATCTCAGAGATCTCGATGTTTTTCAAAGCTCTCGGGCTACCGGGTTGGCTGAGGGCGAGGCAGAATCCAGAACACTAACCCGCGGTCTAGAGAAGGGGGTAGCTCAGGCTGTTTTGATTTTTCTCTGCATGTGGCGAATGCACCAGCCAGCTCCCTCTCGCCTCCCTCGACCGTTTGCAGTTGACTTCTTTTATTTCCTTCTGCCTTTTTTTTCCCCCGCGTGGGAAGGGGGTAAGGGAGGCAGCCGGGTCCTGACTTGCAAGTTTCTAAATCGATTTTACCTTCCCCGACCCCCGCGAGAGAAGTCTGTTTTCGATGCCATTTCTGCCTCCCAATACCCACTTATGCTATTTTTAAGATTCCTCTTTCCCTCTTGCATTTTTCTGGGACAGATTGCTGGAGTCCAGCTCTTAGGGACAAAATAGGGGGACATCCAACCAATAACCAACCATCGAAAACAGAACCCAAAGCCCTAGAATTATTTTTTACTCTTTTTAGAATTTTTCTGCATGTGACAGAGACAGAGAGGAGGCCGACCCAAGCCCTCACCCCCACTTCCTCTGCAGCTCTGGGTCTGTCTTGCCATCTCCAACACCCTGCTCCCACCTCCACTTGGCCGAACAAGGATGGCTCATTGAGCGTGGGTCGCGCGTGCTTCCCCCCTGCTCCTGCCCTGCCCTCTCCTCTTCGGACTGTTCCCAAGGCCTCTTTCTCCGATAAATAAAGTCTTTGCCATTTTACTAGAACCGGCGGTGAGCGTGTCTGAGTGAGTGGGCCCGACCGGGGAAGCACGGCAGGCTAAACTTCTAGTCGTTGCTCCTCACCGGCCACCCCAGCCATGGAGATTTGGGGGAGTTTCTGGGCAAGCATGAGATCGCGGGGTTAGAAGGAAGCATTGGGAGGAGGTGCTTCTTGTCCATAAACACGCATTAACTACTAAATGGGGGGAGGGAAGAAGCGGGCTTCGAAAGGTCGGGGTAAAAAGCAAGACAAGTGATACTGGGGAAAAACGCGAGTGAAAGTGGGAGGCGTCAAGGCACAAAACTAGTTGCGTTGGGCGAAAGATGAGAAGAGAGACTTGTTTTGCCCCCTCCTTCCATATTCTACCTGGGCTCCCGGAGACACTGGCTAAATCCAAAGTGCTCTGGAAGGTGTCATTCAGTATGACATCAAGGTGGAGCCTGGGGGCTCTCAACTTGTGCTCCCTCCCCAGGCCTCATCCTTGGAGAGCAGGAATAAAAAAGAATGAGGCTGAAAGCAACAAGGGGGGGCTGAATTGCACACAAGGGCTCTGGGGGATGTGAGCCCGAAGTGGGAGCTAAGGTAAATTTCTGGTAACGTCCATAAATTCTGGGCCCAGAACTTGGTTGGGAGCAGAGTCATGAATCTTGCAGGGACTCTTTGAGGTTTGTGGTGACTTAACAGTGGTTGGGACTTAGCTTTCACTTTCCCGGATTGAAAGGATTTCTCTCTTGGCTTTTGTTGTCTCTGGGCTGGCGAGTGGCCGCTGTCACTAAAGTCGGGTCCCGCCCCGGGCCGCTCGGCTCTCTTTCTCCTCAAAATTGATGTGAGAAATTCGCATCTGGTCTCGGGCAGACGATGCCCCCGCCCCCCGGGCCTGAGTCAGGAACGTGCGTGTCCAGGAGGAAAACTAAGAGACAGCCAGAAACGGGGGGGAAAGAAAGAAAAGAAGAAGGAAAAAAAGAAAGAAAGGAGCAGAGAAAGACACTCCAGAAGCAGAGCTAGAAAGTGGACAGCCAAGGAAAGGGAGGAGAGTGGAAAAGAAGAAAATTTACAGACCTAGAAAGAGAAACGGAGACAGAGATAGGGAGAAAAGGATAGTGTAGGTAGAGGGGAGAGAAGAGAGGAGAGGGACCAGAGAAGGAGGCGGCCGGGCAGTCGCGCGGGCGTTCGGTCGGTTCCTCCCGGGCGACATAAATCGCCCTCTCTCAGGATGGATGGGTCTGTAATTCGGAGCGCGGACCATGAAGGCCGGGACGAATGGGCCCGGGCGGCCGCTGACAGGCGACAATAGCCCGGCCCAGCCCCCCGCGGCTCCCGGTGCGGGCACGGCCGCGGCCCTCCGCAGCCCAGAGCGCGCCGGCGCTGGCGACCATATGGTTTTTGAATTTTCTTCACAATTTGTAGACAATTTGATGGATTAGGTCCCCGCGCGCGCCTCCCCGGCACAAAGGCGGCGCAGGGACCGCGGCGCGGCGGTCACCCGGGCATCTGCGCCCGCCGTGCGCACCCCCCCTCGCCCAGCCCCCGCCCTGCGCCCGGAGCCCCGGGCCGCCCGCCCAACACGCCCATGAATCCCAATGAAGCGGCCCTGGCACCTCCGGCCGCTCCCTTCTTCGCGGCCCTGGGCTGGGCCCTGCTGGGTCCCTTCGGTCTGGGGGCGGCGGCCCCGAGGCTGAGCCCACCCGAGCTGCGGCGCCCGCGGGGCGCGCAGCTAAGCAGGCGCATCGGGGCTGAGGAGAAACGGGGCCATTTATCCGCCCGTCTAGTTAAAGCGGGTTATTTGTTTGCTTCTCCGGCCTCCCCCTCCCTTCCCCTCCCCCTCCCCTCCTCCCCCTCCCTTCCCCTTCTGCCTTTTATTCTTTTGTCTCTAAATGGATTTAATGAGCCTGAAAAACATGACAATTGAATATAACCAAGAAATAAAAAATAACGAGGGAGGAAGGAAGGAGGAAAAGAAAGAGGGAAAGAAGAAAGGAGAAGGATTAATAAAGAAAAGAGAAAAATCAATTCAATTCAGCAAATGTTTATTGTGTGCAGGTGGCTAGGGAATTGAAATGAATCAGATTCCGTTCCTGCCTTCAAGGAGCTCCCACTCTAATGGGCAAGCCCGCAAGCAACTCAGACCCTAATAGCAGACCCTGGCCATGGGGCAGGGAAGTGCCTCTTGCAAAATGCAGAGAGATGAATTCGGGCTCCAGGGTAGTGATGGTGGCTTCCACGGAGGAGGAGGTGGCGTGGGACCCAGGCCTTGAAAGACATAAATAATTCGTTGTTTCTATAGGCTAGAAAGGACGGCAAGCCAAAGTAAGGACTGGACAGTCGCCTAAGGGAAGGAGGAGAGGGGTGTTCCTGAGAGCCTTAGGCTAAACCCGAGCAGAGGAGGACTGAGGAGAGAGAGCCTCACGCTGTGTCCCACAAAATTTGGAAAGTGGAGCTAAGCCACTCCTCAATCACGTTGGCTCTACAGAATCCGATGCCTCCCCGGGGTTGCTGGTGGGCTCCTGGAGCTCCACCGACCATGCACACGGTTGTTAAGGCCAGGCGGAGCACGCAGTTTGGGGCTCATCTTAAGGCCCCATAGCGCAGAAGGCAGTGGGGAAGTAGGCGATCGTGGTTAAGGGCTGAGGGACTTGGGACCAGGCAAGGGACTGGAATCCAGGGAGGCCTGAACTCTAGCCCACCGGCTCCTTAGCTCTCCCAGTTCTGATGAAGGCTGACACCCCTTCGCGCGGTCCAGGGGCTTTCAGATGGCCTTGACTGGACCTATGATGAGAGAAGGTTTGGAACCCCAGGTGTCAAACCTGAGCCTCTTGGAAGGTGCCTGCTGGGCCTGTCGTGGTTCGGCTGTGTGTGGTGTGTGCACACAGGAGTGGGCTCCGTGGGATCGGGGCGTATATATTGCCTATCTGTTTCTTCTGCGTGTCTGACTGTGCCGTGGATCGTGTGAGGGACTGTGAGGCCCACGGCCACTCTCTGGGCCAATTTCGTTAAGGCTCGGCCCTTTGCCGAGTTCCGTCATCGCCTGAGGTCATTACCGACCTGTTCCCTCAGAAATCTGGCCTCTCTGCGGACCCACTTTCGGTTCCTGGCTGCCAGGGGAGAAGGCTAGGCTTTGTCTCTCCCTTCCCCACTGGGACCCGGGCCTCGGCGCGGCTTGCCAAGTCTCGGGATGCGGTTAGTTTCTGCTCTCCTGTCCGCGCGCGGACCGGCCGAGCCGCAGGGCGCGTTCTGGCTAGTTCTGCTTTCCCTGCTCCGGCTTCCCGGCTCGGCGGCCTAGCGGGAGGCGCAGGGTGAGGCCGGGAGGCGCAGTTCCTTATTTTACGAGGTGTCGGGCCGGTGTCAGACGCAGCTCCGATAAGTAATACTCCAGTCTGAGGGACCAGAACGTGGTAATTAATCCCAAAGACTTAAGTGTATTTTAGTTCAGGAGAAAAAAAATCACTAATTCAATCGTCCGGAAAATTGAAGTTTGATGCATGAGTCCCCCCTGAAAGGGACGGGCTGGGGCCCGCACGCCTCCCCTCCGCCCCTGCCCGTCACCGCGGGGTCCCCCTCCTCCCCACCCTTCTGAGCCGCTGGGTCCAGGAAAGTCCACTAGCCCCGCCCTGCGCGTTCCCAACCTCCGGAACCCAGCGGCACCTGGGCTTTGCTCTCCACCCCCAACAAACAGCCCTTCTTTCTTGAGGGCCAGAAAACAGTTTGTGCTGACAATACACAAGCTCCCCAAATGCATGGAGGGAGAATAAGGGAGCTCCAGAGATGTAAAAGGAGCAGCCAGATAAAGGGTCAGGGTTGGTAAGACCAGGGGCTGAAAGGCATGTGAGAAAAGGGACAGGGAAGCCTGAGTGAGCTGGGTGATGAGGGTCAAAGGGTAGGATGTCCCTGTTGTAAAATGGAGAAATACAGTGGCTTCCAGTTGTGTGTGTG